AAACACGTTCAACACGGTCAAAGACAATGAGACGATGAGGCAAAGGCAAGCGGCTATTGAGAGCCGCCGTACAAAAGCGGCCGTCTCGTAATTGAACAGCTAACAGGATCAGGAGTGGGTGAAAAAAATACATAAACAAACAACAGAATCGATGGACCTAACCCCCGAAGCGATATAAAGCTTCGTGCCAGGAAAATCAAAAGAAATTAGAGGGTCTTTGAGGGCGCTGTAATAAGCGAGCACGTGTTTGGCATAGTTGAGCCATTAAGCGCACATGTCCGCATGTGCACTACTTCCGCATGGCTCAAAGGGTTTTGACTTGTACAAAGACGCACATCCCAATATTTGGCATCTTTCACCAGCTGTAATAGGGTGATTTTACTTAACCCCTGAAATAGGTAGTAGAATACTACGCACTATTATGCAGTAATTCTATTGTCTTATTATGTTTATTTACCGCCATTTTGCACTAGTTGTATTTAAAATTTTTGTCACAACTAACAATCTCACACCGAGGACAGTGAAATTCAACCACATGATCAGTGATGCATTGCTGGGGTTGAGGTTCCGAATAGCTGGCCATGTAAAAAATTAATGCCTAACCGGTCCCTGCTAAACTACTAGTTTGTCAAAATAACAGTGTTAGTGACATTCGAAAGACCCCTGTCGGGTTAAAAAACCACTTGTTCACACTGTTGAAGCCAATAATTTCCACCCTTCCATGTCTTTTCACTAGTTTATGATACTAAACCCGTGCTGCTCCTAAAATTCGTCTCTTATGTGAGTGAAAAATAAGTTTGTCAAGACTTCGCCAATTTTAACAAGCTCAATAGTTGAAAAATGACGAGCAATGTGCGATCCGGCTACCGTGTTACCTCACAACTTGGCAAATACCCTACAATTTTCCAATAGGCTGGGCACCCTTAGAATCAGTTGTAAAAAAACAAAAGCACCAGCCATAGCATCGTCCTTTTATCACCAGGCTCCACAGAGGCTACATAGGCGGATATCTCTAATTCCACTTTTTGGTTCTTTAAAGTAACACAGTAAAGTTGACGACAGAGACTGTATCCTACCTAGTTTGTTTGATCATCCACACTGTCAACACGGTCAAAGACAATGAGACGATGAGGCAAAGGCAAGCGGCTATCGAGGGCCGCCGCACAAAAGCGGCCGTCTCGTAATTGAACAGCTAACAGGATCGGGAGTGGGTGAAAAAAAAAACATAAACAAACAACAGAATCGATGGACCTAACCCCCGAAGCGATATAAAGCTTCGTGTCAGGAAAATCAAAAGAAATTAGAGGGTTTTTGAGGGCGCTGTAATAAGCGAGCACGTGTTTGGCATAGCGGAGCCATTAAGCGCGCATGTCCGCATGTGCACTATTTCCGCATGGCTCAAAGGGTTTTGACTTGTACAAAGACGCACATCCCAACATTTGACATCTCTCACCAGCTGTAATAGGGTGATCTTACTTAACCCGCGAAATATGTAGTAGAATACTACGCGCTATTATGCACTAATTCTATTGTCTTATTATGTTTATTTATAGCCATTTTGCACTAGTTGTTATTAACTGTTTCTCGGGTCAAGTAAAATCGCTATAACACCCCGTTGTAGGCCAATCAATGAGCGACCCTATACTTCTATTCAGGGCGGAAAAACGTTCTGCGCAAGCTTCTGCGCATCCCTTATCGCAGGCTCAAGGCGGGCTTTTCTTTGTGTTAACTGTGTTTGTTTGTTGCTGGAGTTCTGAGTGAAATGCACGAGGTGTGAACGTTTGCTCCCCGTAAAGCATTTTTATTTGACATGTTTGCTTTTTTTTCGTCGCTTGAAAATTACTTTGGATTCAGAACAACCAATGTTAAAGGAAAAACGGATCATTCCGTCAGTCTGAGGTGGAATAAAGGGTTTTGAACATTTCTTAAGAGGCGAGTATTTTTCTGATTGTGCATCCGATTAATTTATGAGTCAGATTTCGCCGGGTTCAATTCAAACCCGCTTGTATTCTGTTATTAGTAGTTATGGCTACTTTTTTTACATGCCCAGATTTATTACCCTTGCAGAACCAGCTTTATCTTTGTCTTCAGTCAAAGAACCATATTGCTGTCATAAGGCATCAGAGTGAACAAACTTGTGCGGTTATTAAACTTTCTCGGGAATAGAAGGCCAGCAAGCTTACTCAAGATCATTTTTCTGTTGCTCAAGTAATAACAGTCAGAGTTTT